TAGCAGGCAGCTAAGTCAATATTTTTCTCCAGTGCTTAAGAGAGAACTCTGCCATTTGTTACCCACAGCTCATTCCAAACAAGTGGCCAAGTAATCATTTGTTCTTACACCATGTGCTAACACAGGAACCACCACCAGCATCAACCAGGAGTGAAACTTCAGGCATTTCAAATAAATTCAGAAATTCCACACAAGACTCTGCTCCACTACAGTTTTACCAACACGTTTCCAACAGCAAATAAGGCTGAGTTTTCAACAAAGACAGGGAGCAAAGCAGTTGAGTCTCTGGGTGTTCTACAGAAGAGAAAACAGCTCAGAGATTTTAGGAGCAGACACCCAGGTTTATTCCCTTCCCAAGGATTTGAGCATCCAAGACAAATTGTCAGCAAAGCACGCTGCATCAGGGGAATAAAATACTTCTCTATGCATTTAGAGCCTACTTTGTGCTTTCAAAAGCACTTGCAGAAGAGCTTCCTTTTCCTCACCAGCCTCTCAGCCCCTCTTCACATGATGTGTGAAATGCATTTTTTCCAGGAAAACAAAATGACACTGGAAGGAATAAAAATGGCGAGTATTTATGAGGAGGTGTGGCACTTAGCTTGATACAGTTTAATTTTTTAAAATTACGTTTTAAAAGTAATAACTTCTATAGTGAAATAATGATGTACTGCTGATCAGGAAGCTCATTACAATCTAGATCAAGGGAATTATACTTTGATTTGTCAATCTGGAAAAACAGATAATTTTTCTTCTAATCTACTCTTATCACTGAAGCGTATTAATCCCATTTACAAACCTATTACTTACCTGTAATTTAGGGATACTTTAATTCATGAGATATACCTTAAGAACTATTTGTTAGATCTATAAATCCAAAGAGAGTCAGTCAGGCTGATGTCCAAAAGCAGCAAATTTGAACCATTAAAATGATAATATAATCAAAGGCACTACACATTATACTTACTAGGAAAGATTCATGCTTGAGATACTTCAGATATTCTATCAGAACAGTGGCAAAATGTGAGATCGATTTTTTAAAATCCACATTATTTCTGAAACTAAGTAATTTGTGACTGTAAATAGGACATTTTCTAAATGGGCTGAAGAGCAATACATTTTCCACAGAGCTTCCAGAAACTTAAAAAGAAAAATCCCGCTGGTCAATGGTTCAATCCAATGTGTTCTTTTTCAAACATCTTATTTATTTTCCATTTGCATAAATTCCACCCTTGAAATGCCATTGCAACTGATTATTCATTATTTAAATTTACTTTGGAAATTAAACTCAAGGGGAATTATCTAAAGTATGTCAGACTGAGAATGAGCTGTGAATCTCCAAAGTTAATTTTAGCCTCATGTGTGTTAAGGAAGATTCAAGTTCTTAACTGCCTTTTAATATTAAGAACTACTTATTCAGCAAAGTCCCTGTATTACTTTAAATGTAAACCTCTTTAAGCTAATTTAAAAAAAAAAAATGAAACTGTAATCTTTAGAAGTTTTCTAAAAGCAGCTTCTCAGTTTTTCTCCAGCATATTTAACCTTGGTAACTTGACAAGTGAGTCTAAGTAAACAGCCATTTTTCCACATTTCAGCTGCTTCCAGCATTACGTAAACTCTGAACAGGAGGAGAAGCGAGATTCTGTTCAGTCTCCTGAACAGCTGTGCAAGCTGCTGCTCTGGGTGCTTTCTTAAATACATATCCACTAACACACAGATTCTAATAAGTTAATTATGACAGATATTCCACAGAGCAGGCAAAAATCATGATTCCAGCTTAGGAAACTATTTGGTAAAATCATCTGGCCTGTGTTAGGTGTGTCAGACTGAAGTGTGGTCATTTCTAGCCTATGATCCCAGAATCGTTTCAAGTTTAGGAAATAGTTCCATTAAAAGATTTGCATCTTAAACATTATCTGGAACCACATGATTTGCCAGTAGAAGGAAATCTTCAAGGGAAGTAGCTTATTTTAGACTTTACACAGCTGGATTTAATGATGAGGGAAGGTAGGGAGCTTTGAAGCAATGGATGTCCCCACTCTCTCCCAGCCTCAGCACCTCACCAATTCCCAGCTGGGAGATAAGGGGTCATGCCTTAAGGATATTGTCACAGAGATATATTAGGGTTCTACAGATGAGTTTTAGATGTCAGTGGAGGAAGCATAACAGAGCAACTTCTTTTCAACAGCAATTTAACTTAGGAAAAGAATTTTGACTTTTGTCTATTTTAGAAGTTTTTATATCATAATTGCCTACAAAGCACTTTTGTCTTGACAATCTTGGCTTAGATCAAAGCGGAATTAAATTCAGTTTTTTGTCTTAATATAGAGATGCAGTCACCCTTCCCAGAGAACAAAGCTCCCTGGGAACACACTACAGCTGCATGAATGGAATGCTGATTGTGCTCCATTCTCTCTCAAGTACCTCTTGGAAACCCAGGAAGGGGAAAACAGGGAAATCGGAAGTTTGCACTGTAAATGACCCACTCTGCAAGTGGCATTCATTCCGTGGCTTCCAGAAAAGAAGAATTAATGCTGATTTCTCTGTCTGAAGGCTAAATATTAGTTTGACTTAATGAGTTCCAATTTGCAATTGCAACATCCAGGAAATCTTCCCAGTGTACATGGGCTTCATTGACACTGGTGAACTTCATTACTGCTCCAGAGAAAGAATTATTTACCCCTGGAGTTCCACAGAACGCCCAGGAAAGGGAGGACAATTGGCCAAATAAAATCTGTAAAAGTATTTGTAAAAGTTCAGCACCTGAACACAAAGATGAGATCTCACACAAGAGCCAGGCCAGAACCAGTGATTTTTGTTAAGACAATTCAGCACACAGCTGAACAACACTGCTGCCACATCAACCAAAGTTTTCTCAAGAGATTTTTACTGACAGATGAGTAGCTCTGGGTGTGGGTTTAAACCTCTGTTTGAGGAGACATTCTATCAAGGGCTGGGTGCAAATAAAAAAGAGGGACAGAGGAAAATCAAACACAACACAAGGCATTTATTGGGTGCTTTAAATTCAGAATTTTCAGAAGAGCTGCTGGCACTGTTAAAGTAACATTATAGCATTTTTTTACTTGAAAATATGCAACGTAGTGCATCCACTTTAGCAAGCATAGAATTTGACACAAGTATTCCTTCCAGAAACACTTCATCAACTTATGCAATCACTGTTCAACCAAGGGGAAACAGTAACAAAACAGTAACAAAAAGCATCAAGCCTGCATATACTGTTTATATTCCTCAGAGAGTTTGGCTCATGGACTCCTCTATCCTCTTCAAAAAATGCATGGACGGTTTTGATGGATCACCAGCAGGAATTTTACAAGTTTTAAAAATCAGTAACAGCAGCAACATGGTAGGGGGAGGACATTCATCCAGCACTCACATTCTGAGCAAGTACAAGTGATAACCCACTGTTCTGACACAGACTAAATAAATCAGATGTATTATTGCTCAGCTAAACTTCCAGTCTCAGAAAGGATCCTGTCTGGCTGTTCCTTTTTATAAGCATTCTTCTCTTAGTTCACTGTTAATTTTTAACTATATTTTATACTAGTTGCATACCTACTAGAGCCTCTTGCTTTCTAAAGAAAGGCTTTAATATAAGGAAAGATGTTTTAATTGTTAAATATTATTCTTCAAATATTATCCCCAAGACACAGAACAGTTTGTGTTAATACTAATAGTCAGAAGCGTTTCTAATTACACCCAGCAAAGCATTGTGGGCAATTCTGATTTCAGCATTTTGACTCAAAATATCCTTGAAGAAATAATTCACAAGAAGAATTTTTGCCTTCAATTCAGCAAAGACTCATCAGTTTAGCAACCAGCCAAGGAATTTCATTTAAGAAACTAATTTTGGCTGATTGATCTAAGAGCCAGTACAACTTCACTGAAGGCTAAAGTTACAGACACCATCAAATTTCACTGAGAGACCACCCGAAGCCCAGCTGTCAGAGTAACTGAAGTCACAAAAAGACTTTACACATATCAAGCTGGCTTCTTCACTGCTCAGCAAAATTAGAACTCTCTGTCTTGAAATGTCTGCAAGAGCAAGACCTAAATGTGTAACACTGGAGGCAGCCTTAGGAATAAGATTAAAAGAAATGCAAGTATTCCCTGTAGAGTGAACTATTCTTTTTTTGCCCTGTGACTGCAAAGGAGAATTTCTGTAAGGAGCCCTGCACCCCAAACCACGTGATCTATCTAAATATTTACACTATGAGCACTATTAAAAGTCTCCTCTGAAGTCATTAAACATAGTATTTTCAGCAAGTGAAATCAAACAATTATTACGTAGATTACAGCTCACTTTTACCTGTTTTTATCAGGGAAAAGCTCCTTAATTGCTCTTTGTAACTCATAAGAACCCCACAGCTGTGGTTTCAACTGAATATACTTCAAAATGTCAAATACCTACTTCCACTGTTTTCTAAAAGGGAGGAGAGAGAGTGAAAAAATGGAACCTAATTAAATTTCTTTCTTTTAATTACTATTTACCACCAATTAGCAACATGCACCCAAAAGGCTTTTTGTTCATCTCTCTGGCCTCCCTACTTTTTCTTCCCATCCCTCAAAATGTTCCCAGTGTCCTTTCTTCCTTTTTATTCAGGCATATCCTTGCTTTCATGGCTTTCTCTGCTCTATCTAATCCTGTAAATTCTACACTGATGAAAACACAACCAGAAACAATGTTTTAATTGGTGTACATGACATTTCCTCCTGTTCTACCCCAGTGATCAACTTCCAGTACACTTCAATCCTACTTTTGCTCTAACTTTCAAATACATCTGTAAACACTATCTAAACTTTGGCAGAAAAGAAGAGCACATTATGTTAAGAAAACGTTCTGGGCAGAGAAGAAAACATTGAAACACACAGCTTTCATAGTTTGCATTTTGTTTTCAGCTTTTTATGTCTATGTAAAGCCCAGCAAGTACTCAGAAACACAATAAACTGTCAAGAAGGAAATTACAGCAAAAATTAATACTTACAGCCATAATTAACTCAAAAGGGTGTTTATACACCCGTACAGGGGACTGGTACTTCTGCACCATGGCTGCAGTTTAGCGAGATCAACTCAAACCTGAAAAAGAAATTTTTAAAACCATCTGTCAGACGTAGGAAGCCATTTTCAATTTTCTCTTGCAATTAGTCTGTGCGTGGTACCACGCTAGCAATTCCACAGGAAATCCTTCATAATTCCCTGACAACCTTTTTTAAGACCCAACAGGGGCTCTGAAAAGCTATATATATATATATTTGTCAGAAATGACTTATCATTTCTTCTAAAGACAACACAAAATTAGCACATTTTTAGTCCAATTTTAGTAACAAATCTTCAACAGATTTTATGACTCTTTGTCAGGATGGTGAGATTTCCTGTGCTGCTGCTGAGAACCAAACACTGACACATCCCAGAGACAGGCAGAGAAGCATTTCCCAGTCCCCCAGCACGGTATGTGGGCTGCCCTGCTCAGAGAAGGGACTGGGCAGGGGGAAAAACAAGAAAGAAATACAGAAAACACAAAAAGAGGTTAAAAAAAGAAGTGCTAAAAATGCTTGTTTGCAAAAAGGAGGAAAAAAAGATGGATTATTAAAGCAGATAAAGATCCAATAAAGATGGATCTTTATTTGATCATCTCCAAAATAACTGAAACTTTTGAGAGAAAAACTTATGTGATAGTTGTGGAAAAAAACTTCGAGAAAAATTCCACTATGCGGCCAGAAAAGATTCACTGGCAACACGGAGAGGAATTACTCCAAAGGCTTTGTGCCTGCTCTACCCAGCAAAGTGCTTGACCCGAACTCTCTCGACTGCAATTACGTTTATTGAAAAATTCTGGCAGTAGCTCTCGCATATGAATCGCGGGGCTGCGAGCCAGCCTCAATTTAGCGAGAAATGGGTTTGCTACAGCAAGTTCGCTTCACTTTTCTGTCCGCAGGGACAGCGGGAGCGCTCCCGGCCCCGCAGCTGGGGCAGCGCTCCCCGGCCGGAGCCAAGAACAACCCACAGGAAAGTTCTCCGACATCCCAGCCCCGAGAAGAATTTACCCATGACTACCCCGCATTTTTTAGTTTTTTGTTTTCAAACCACCTGAATCAGCACAAACAGCCGCAAACCCTCTCTAATCCCCGGACAAAAAGAGTTACACAACAAAGAAACTCCGCGTTCCTCCCACGGCGGCGGAACCGGGACACCCCGGGAGGGGACGGGATGGGGGGGACAGCTGGGACAGCCCTGAGCTCTCCCGGAGGGATCCGGACACCTGTGACAGCCCCGCAGCGACCGGGACACCCCGGGAAGGGAAGGGACACCTGTGACAGCTCCGCGCTCTCCGGAGGGATCCGGGACAGCCCTGGAGGGGCCGGGATGGAGGGACACCGGTGACAGCCCCGCGCTGCCCAGGAGGTTCCGCGACACTCCAGGAGGGGACGGGACACCGGTGACAGCCCCGCGCTGCCCCGGAGGGACCCGGCCAGAGCCGCCTGCACGGGGCGGCCGGAG